AACAATGTGGTACAAAGTCAGAACAATCTGGAACAACTTTCAAAATTATAAATTTCAAAAAGTGGGATGCCAACTTCATACACTCACCTTCCTAGGACTCTAAAGCTATCGCGGGCGCGAGTGGAGCTTGCGTTAAATCTTGCGGAGTTGAGACAGAAGTGAGTGTCAACCTTCACATCGGTGCTTTTCGCGACCGAAGCTCCCGGGATACGTCGACGCTCGTAAGTCACGGAGATGATTTCCTCGCCTCTCTTTCTCCCTCCCTCCCTCCCCTCTCTTTCTCTCTCTCCCCCCTCCCTTTCCCCGTTCGTCACGGGAAACCACCGACCGCACGGTGCTTTACATATGCATGGAGAGTAAGCGAGCATGTAGCGGCTAAGTGGCCACATCCCCTTACGTGAAAGTTAAGTGGGCATGGCAGCACGAGCCGTGGCCACAGGCCGAGAAAATTATCTTCAATTATCTCGTGCAATCGGAGCCCCCTCCCTCTCCGCCGCCGCCACCACCTCCTCCTCCTCCTTCTTCTATCGCTCGCTCCTTCTATCTCGTACGCGCGAGCGCGTCTATCTCGCTCTTTCGATTAGAGTTCCGACCGAGCGATCGTCGCCACTTCTAACATGCTCGGTGGTAATCGAATCTCCATGCGCGTTCTCGACGCGTTTTCGTTGACCTCCGAATGGGAGGGTCGCACCTACCGCTAACCGATGTCTTTATGTAATGCGAGAATTACGGGTGAGCGGGCGCTGAGTGCGCGCGCGCGCTCGTTTACCGTAAAATACCGCGCGCGTATGTATGGCGTTCGGACATGTCGGAAAACAGCGGAGCAACACAGCCGGCTCTCCTCGCTTCTATCGGTCGTCGCTCGGGAAAATCGTCGTCGACCTCGCGGGAGAGGTCGGGCGATCTTTCCTCGGCGACGGGAAACCGATGGGTGCGCGCACCTTTGTTCTCTTTCTCTTGCTTCAGCTCCTAGATTAAGCTCGTCAGCCGCGAAATGAGGCGAATCAAGACGTCGCGTAATCAACTTGTCGGAGGATTGACTTGTGTTGTTGCCTTATGATATACCTTATGACTGATTCGAAACTTGCTCTTCACCACTAACTACTAACGGCTTGTAGAAAATTGCTTTATATTTAAACTACTCGGCTTCTTATATCTAAGACGTCTAAGCTTGAATTGACACAAGTGTCAAGGGGATGAAACCAGGGATGGGGCGCCCAGGTCTCACATAGCCTACATTTTCCGCAGGGTTTTAGAGAATAACTTTGCAAAATTTCGACCAGATTGGTCATAGGAGTTAATACGAGTTAATAGGGAACGTACAGATAGACATTCTATTTTATATGTATAGATTTTATGTTTAAGAGAGAAGGTTTGATCATCTTAAAAAGATCACACCTTCAAACGCTCCGCAAAGCTAACGATTCGCATGACGGCTGTAGGTGAATTTAAGAAACGATCTTAAATATAAGGTCCGACTATATGAACACCGCCCTTAGATCCACGATGCGATCCGGACTCTGTTTGTCTCTCTTTCGCGAGACATGT